AAAGCTTATGCTCTAATAAATTTGTTAGTCTCTAAGGTGCCACAAGTACTCCTGTTCTTTTTGTAGGAGGATTGTCCTTCTGTTCACTAAAATGTATTGTTCTTCATCAATGTTATCCTGCTTATTTATAATTATTGTAACCCCAAGCCAGACTCCAGGGGACAGGTTGTGATGACTGAGACTCCAGAATTCCTGTCAGTGTCTCCAGGAGAGAGGGTCATTATCAACAACAAAGCTAGTTCCAGTGCTTATCGCTCTATGGCCGGGTACCAACACAGACACTGACAATCTCCTAAGCACCTTACTTCAGCACTTACTCCTGTCCCTCTGCAGTCTGAGACTAGTTCATTGGCAGTAGGTCAGGCAATGACTTCACTCACACCAGTCAGTTGAAGCCGATACTGGAGATTATTGCTAGCAATATGCTCACACCTGCCAGACAATGATACACCCCAGTACAAAAACCTCTTTGCTCTGTTCCTCTAGGAAAGAGCTGCATCCTGTGCTGATTAGTTATACTGCAACTTCTTTCCGCTCTGTTTAGTGTACGCTCCTGTTGCCTCCTGTCTTAAACTTGGCTTCTGTCTTCGGAGCCTGGACTGACGTTTCATAATGTGCATACAGCATCTAGAAAAGTAAGCCACTTTTTAATGCGATGTATTACAAATAAATCACAACTAGGAGCTGTGTACTGCCCTTCTCTGCTAGAGAGAATGTTGCAGCAATTGATTTAACAATCAGTGGCCAAGAATCATTGTAGCTACACCAGTGCCGATATCTAGATGAGGATGTGCAGGGATGACATGATTGAGCTACTCAGATTTCAAACCTGGCTAACTGCGGTTTACCCTGCTTGAATCCCCACTCCCCCAAAACAGTTTCTGTCACAACAAGATCACACCATTTCTCTCACTGCTGTGAGGTGATCTCTAGTATAAGTTATTCTAACCAGCATCCCAGCAACAACACACCTACAACACTTATTTCCATTCAGCCTGATAAATGTCACTGTAACAGAGGCTCTTGTCCCCACATCTATAGGGTTGAACTTTCCTATTTCACCCATTAAAGCATTTACGCAACTTTAAACCAGCCCGTTTTGAATGGTGCTGTATTCTCAGCAATTCGCAGATCAAAGGAATTCACATTTTCCCTACAAGGCCTACCCCAACCACTGACCTCACCGATCAGCTTTCAGACCAATCTGATTTCTTTTGTAGATTTTAGAGAGGATACAAAATACAGCTTTAAATAGAAATTAAGCTGCAACCATAATGTATCTTGCCAACGTAGAATCGGTCCCCATATGTCTAACAGACAAGTCTTTGTCAGAACTAGTGAGACAAGATGCTTTACATACTCCCAACTGTCTGATCTTTCTCTCCTGCTCTGAGCTGTTATAAATGTTGCATTTCACTCTCCGGGTTTGAGAGATCATCCCAGGAGAGGTCAGACCTATCAATATAATCTCACTAGTACTGCCCTGCACAGATATAAAATTTGTATCCGCATGTGATCCGCGAGCTGCAAATATGGTCCATCGATATCTGCAGATTTGCAGGGTTCTACCCATCAGCTCAGTTCATCTGGCTGCTAGAGCTCTGGATCCAGGATAAGAATTGAACCAACATGGGACTAGGTGAATTAAAAGTATAATTGGTCTTTAAAGAAAAATAAAATTTTCAGACAAAAAGTCTATCAAACCCTAAATATTCCTCACAGTTGCACTAATTTCTGATTAACTTTGTCTCATGGAAAACTGCAAAACAGAGAGAAAGAACATTTTAAAGAAATATGGGTCTGATCCAAAACCCATGGAAGTCAGTGGGAGTCTTTCCATTGACCTCTGTCCATTCTAGATCAGCTCCAAAATGGGCGAATGAAAGAGCATTCTCAAACTGAACATCAGCATCATGGGTGGATGACAGGCTATAGTTATTAGGTAAAGAAGCACGTGGGAATATTTACAAAAGTAAAATGCTATTTAGAGGCACGATCCCATTCATATGGACTAATATTTGATTTATAAATTCAGATTCCAGCAAGGACATTGTGATGACTCAGACTCCAGAATCCATGTCAGTGTCTCCAGGAAACACAGTCAGTATCAACTGCAAAGCCATTACAAACTTCAAACCTTACCAGGAGCAGTAGAATGAATTAATTTTAACCTGGTACCAAGTGGAATCTGGACAAGATCCTAACCTCCTTATCTGTTATGCTTCCACACTGCAATCTGGGATCCCAGCCTGGTCAGTGGCAGTGGGTCTGAAACCGACTTGACTCTCACATCAGCCCCAAGCTTTAATGTTGGCAGATGTTCAAACAATCTGGAAATGTCATAAACTGAACCATAAACTTTCCTCAGAAAGCTCCGTTGTCTCATGAATGTTTACATGTCGTTCCAGAGAAATAACAGGGAAAATAAAGTTCTGTGCAACTGGACAGAAGGTGTTGGACACAAAGAACCTTTTACGTGTAACATGAGCATCACTCCTGGCCACATGGTGTAATGTACATGAAATCATGCGTGAAACAACATTGTTCAGCAAGATTGCTCACACATCTGTGTTAACTTAGATTTTTTTGTCAATTTCAGACACTCTGCCAGTCTTAATCTTTCCTTGCAGGTAACCATCAGTGAACCCCAGTTCCAAAGTTCACCACAGACATGTCTTTAAAGTTTCCTGAATCTCTCTCTCTCTCTCTCAATGGACACTCACAGAAATTACCAAGTTCGCATACCTACAGCACACAATGATTTTGGGGATCAGCACGTCACCAGTTTACATACGGTAACTTACATGACACCTTTTGGATACATATTATGACAACAGTGTGCTGGGAGAAACGAGTGTGTCAGCCCTGATAGGAGCTACAGGATAGTGAGCCTTCTGCATCAACGCAGTGTTTTGGACCATCCCTGTATTGTTGTTTTGGAAGAGAAGGATTTCCCCTTTTACTTGGTCTGTTCACTGGATCAGTTAGGGTCAATACATTTTTTAAAGAAATTACAGTGCTCAATTGAAAAAAAACATTCATAAATCAGAAACAGTATTTCCTTGCAGTGAGCTCTATCCTAGTACACACTGTGATGAACTGTGGTGTCCCAAAGAAGTGCTTAAACCTAGATAAAATGAACAGATAGAACTCCTGAAAAACAGAAGAACTACATTGCCAGTAATGTTGATGGCGAAGGACACAGAGGGCTTGCCATATCCTAGAGGTCTGTGCTGGATTATGCCCTAATGGAGAAAACTCTCAAACAGCACAAGGCTGCGGAGCACTAAGCACCTACAACTGCCACTAATCTGGACAGGTGTACAGGGCATCACAGCCCACACTATAGGTGGCATTGCCAGGGAGAGCTTCTGTGTAGGATGGCCAGAGACCGTTCCGATTCTCTCTCTCATCTAACCATACAAGGAATCCCAAAGGCTGGTGGCAGCAGCAGAACCATTTGTTGCAGGTGCATCTGACACCTTCTATGTCATCAGTGGGAGTTGCCGAGGTCCGGGGCGCTGTATGGTCCTGGCGCCGCCGCAGCAAGGCACCAGGATGGAAAATTAACAGAATGGCTGCTTTGCACACCTACCCTCTTTAAACAAGAAGCTGCACTTCCACTCAGTTTACACCAGATGGCCGCATTCAACTGCCTTCCCAATGGGAGATTCCATGTTTTTGAAAATGAGGTAGGGTGACCAGATGGCCCGATTTTCTAGGGACAGTCCCGGTTTTGGGGTCTTTTTCTTATATAGGCTCCTATTACCTCCCACCCCCTGTCCCGATTTTTCACATTTGCTGTCTGGTCACCCTAAAATGAGGCCAGGAATTCTAGGTACTGAAATACAGAATTATGAGTCTAACTTTAAATTTCCAGAAATGAAAATCAAGGTCTATTTGTGCAATCTTACACAGAACATGGGGAGCTCTGCCACAGGGCTCACAAACTATTTAATGGGAGACTAGCCTATTCCTGTACACTACAGTTACCTTTGGGATTTACATGGCATAAATGGATGTTTAAGGGTTAAAGGTCCCACAGCCCTGTGCATCATTATAGAGTCTGCGAGGTGATGGCTAATCGACCCAGAGGGGAGTAATAAGGAAGAAAGGAGTTACCTCCCTCCCCCGGCACAGTTCCTCTAACGGAGATCTCTAATCAACACCACTGAATTTATCTTTGTGAGGCGATTCCTAGCATAACAATGGTTCTGAGGCCATTAAATGTAAACCAGCAGGCAAGCAATACTGAAGAGCTGAGAATATTTATTCCCATTCCACCCTGACAAATGCTATTTCAACACACAGTGAGAGAGAGGGACTGTCACTTAATATGGGGTTGTTCAGCACCCAGCACAATTGGGTCCTGAGACAGATAGAGACATCTGGATACCACCATCACGATCAACAAAACTAGCACTTCAATGAAAACTCAGGATGCTTCCCAGGGCCCAGCAGTTTGTACTTCCCTATTTAACCCAGGGCTCCTTTTACTTCCCTTTTTCTGCCTGGTTTAGGTCAGCTGGGAATTTTCATCTCTGAACTAAATTTGCATATTTCACACTCAGGTCACACGGTTCTGCAGCTCTGAGCCATTATAAATGTTCCATGTCACTGTTACCATTTGTTGATCAGCACTGGGCCGCTCAGACGTAGCAAGATGATCTCCCAGGCTCAGCTCAACTGGCTACTAGTGCTCTGGATCCAGGGTAAGAATCAAATAAAGGAGGAGGGTCTGG